ATTGGTGTTTGAGGTTGTTGAATTGGTGTTTGAGGTTGTTGAATTGGTGTTTGAGGCTGTTGAAATTGTGTTTGAGGTTGTTGAGTTGGCAAATGAGATTGAGATGAACTAGCAGCAAAAGTATGAATATTTTGCATTTGAACATTTTCTCCTTGTGGTGGATTATTAGTACCAGCAACATCAGTGTCCAAAGATGATTTTGAGGAATTCACGTTTGCTTCATCTGTATGGGGATCATGCTTTGGTAATGGTTGACGTCTATTATCATACCATTCCTTACCGATCAAAGCCAACGAACCTAGCCAACCCGCCAAAGCAAACCAACCGAAGGCATTTCCGGCTCGTGCAGTTCTACAATTTCCGGCCAATCCATTGGTAAAAAGACTTCCTGTTTTGTTTTTAGCTCTTTCAAAGGCAGCCGTATCCGAGCTCGAATCACAATTTCTCAAACCCAATTCTATACTCAGTGCGATCGTTACCAAAAATACAAGCACAGACCACATTGCCGTAAGCACGAACTCTATTCTAATGACCCTTAAAGCTCTTGCCAAACTTTGAAATTTACCATATTGTAAATAAGTATAAGGAATACCGACTATTGCAGCTGACATAATAACTGAAAGGGCCACAAAGAAAATAAAAATAAAGTAAAGTCAGTATAATCGATGTTTTTTCCATTTAAATTCTGATGTAACATCGACTAAGGAATTTGTATCATTTTTGTTATTGTTGTTGTTATTATTATTATTAAGATACTTGACAAAACCACCATTGTTACCTCCGCCTCCACCATCATCAGTGTATTCATTATCAGAAGTTAAATCAATTATTAAAACTTCGGCAGATTGATTAAAAACATCCCGTGAATGTTGTTGACAATTATGTTGATGATTATGATGATGATTACAGTTATCGTTCAATCTAGCAGGTGGTAATGAATATGAAGAAAAAGGCGGTGACGATGTATAAATGTTATTAAATTGTTGAGAAGGATTGGATGATGTGCTAATCATCCTCATTTCTGGTCGTGGCCATGTATTAGAATGTTGAGTAATTGGATGTTGGGTAGATTGTGGATTACCATAAATTTGATAATTGAACGTATGATCAGGTTCAAAGGATTGATGGTTGCCGTAATTAAAAACAGAAGGATAGCTATTATTTGTTGAATTGTATACATTAACGTTCATTGATCGTGGTTGTGGAGGTGGTGGTAATCTAGTGTTATTATGTAAGGCATCGTGCTGATTAATGTATGGTGAGTGACTATTAGAACCGAGTATTATTATATCTAAATTATTATCAATCATTGAATCAACATTCATTGCAAAGTTATTTGAGCCTAGAATGTTTGGGCTATAGGTGAAGATATTGTTGTTGATCGTTGAGGGGTCGTCCGATAGTAGATGTCTTTTTTCATAGCTATTTAAAGATGGATTAGAATTGTTGTTTGTTGGACGCGTGTAAGAATAACTATCATTATTATTGTTATTATTATAATTGTTGATACTATAATTATCACTAATACCATCGTCATTATTATTACTAGTGTTATTAGCATTAAAATTGTTATTGGTATCACTATTGGTTTGTTCTGTGTAAAATTTATTTTGTCTAAATATTTTAGAAAAGATTTGACTATTGTGATTGGTGGTGTTTAGTTGATCTTGTATGGGAGGACTTGGAGGGGTGCTATAAGATTTTTCACCGGTGTCAACAGTAAGCCTTGATGACGAAGAAGAAATTGACGCTGAATCGTTAACAACAATTATTTCATAACAGGATCTTTGTGAGGTTGTTGCTGATTTTTTATTTTCACTAAACGCTGACTCATATAAAGCAGAAATTTCCAACTTCTCCATATCTTTCACATCTTTCTTTTCTCCCTCTTCCAAGTGTTCAGAATATTCAGAATGTGATTGTTTAAAATGTTTACTGAATCTAGGTGTTCTGAGGCCCTTTTTACTAGTAGATATTCCAGCAAAAGCTTTTTTGTTAGTGGTGTGTTTTGACTTTTTATTGTAATTTTTTTTATCAACACCAACGCCAACACCATCTATAGTATTAGAATTAGAATAAGAAGCATTATCATCATCATCATTATTATTCAAAATTTTATCAGATTTTAATTTTCTTAATTTTTTTGGTGGAGCTTTTTCATCATCAATAGTGTTATTCGTGATGTCGTTTTTGGTTTTGGTTTCTTCAAAAAAACGTTTAAGTTTTTTTGTGTTGTGAATTACAGAAACCATTTTTAAACGTTGTTGGTGTTGTTGTTTTTGGTGAGAATTAGTTGTTGATGGCGATGATGAGATGCTAATGGTCTTGCGATCTTTAATATTTCTTTTCTTGTGTTTATTGTATTTATTATGTTTATTTCCTGGAAGTGATTTTAAAAAGTCAACTTCAGAGAATATAAGATCTCGCACTATACAAAAAAGAAATAATTAATAATAAATGAATACGGAGCTTATCAAAGTATTAATAGTAATAATAATAGCAATGGTAATGATCATCACCTCCTTTCACTTGAACTTCAACAGAAGCCTTGCTTTTTTGGAAAAGATAAGGTTCTCTTTTCAACTGCTTTTTCTAAAAAAATATACAACTGGAATTAATTACACACACACACACACACACACACACACACATAAACGCGTAAAGAATAATGATTCGTACTTTTCGCGGAACCTCTATTTTTGTCAGACCATCAGTGCAAGAGCTTGCTGAAGAGCCAGCTATTAAATGTACATTTATAATTATATTAATTATCATATTAAATTCATTTTCAAATCGTCGTTATTATTATGCTGATGAGTACCTTCATCAATTGAAGCGGTTCTAATAGCTTCCAATTGGTCTTCAAGATATTTTTCAAGAAACTCGCGTTTTCTATTATTCTGTAAACTTTTAGTGTGTTTACTAAGGTTTTTTTTGGTAAGCATTGCAGGAATCATTTTAAAATTAATGAAAAGTTGAAGATTATAATATGAAAAAAAATTTATTGATTTTGATTGGCATGACCCTGTTGTAATGTGAATTTATGTTAGTGTGTGAATTTGAAATTAGCCAATTAAAAAGCCTAATATATTATTACACAATTTTATGATTTGTTCCATTTCAACATAAATGTAATTCTCATAAAAAAAGAAGATACGCAGTGATGTGCATCGGAAGCTCCCCAACGACCTTTCATTGGGATTAGAAGTTCCAGTGGAAGGTTTGGAAGCCTTTCCAATTGTTTATTGGACTTTGAACATTACAGCCAATAAAATTCAAGAATTAAATTTTTTAATTACGACTATTTTTCAAAATGGGGAATTTTTATTATTGTATAATAATTAGCTATTGCCGATTGCAGAAAAGTCTTTTATCCCCACGGATTTTACCAAATTAGTTTTTTTGGGAAGCATGAAATGTAAAAAAAAACAGCGTGCAACATTGAATTGACATGGGTAATTAATTAAATTGGGGAAATAAAAAAATAATTATTTATTTCTCAAAACCACCACCTGACAAAGATATATTAAAGTATTACGAAATAAATGCAATACATACAAAGAACCGCATAAACATTACAAACAAAAAAAGCCACAAGTTAAGAATCATTTAAAAAGTCGCGTTCTTCCAATGCAGTTATTGGTCCTCAATTTATCCCGTAACTAATTGTGATTGGACAACAGTATCAATGACATAAAAGCTTCCAAAGACACGTCACTGCGTATACATACTTGCCCAAGATATAAAATTTATTTTTTTCAATAGGAAAATAGGGATTAACCACTGTAGATCATGGTAAAATGTTGCGTATATTCTACCCTTAAATAGCAATAGTATTATTATTATTTATTTGACGCCATGAACTATTTATAGAGTTGAACCATTAAGGTTTAAATCAACAGTGTATGGTGTTGACTTTTATATCAGCATTAAAATTAAGATCGATGAAGATGTTATGGACAAGTTACTTTTGTATGAAGAAATTGTTGTAATAGTTGAAGTGGCGAAGATGATAAATATTGTTTGCATTATGCTTTAGATACGAATTGATAATAACGGATGCCGTTGATGAATTTGATCTTAACTCGCAACAATTCTAATGCTTTTTTAAAATCTAATCTAATATTGCTCAAATTTTATTAATTCACACGCGAGAACTAAAGTCATATTTTTTTATTTTAATGTGATACTATATAGCCACGTATTTAAAATCGTGATAACAAATAAAAATAATACAATAATAATATATAGAAATAATTTTTCATTTTAATTCAAACCAACGCAATCCAATCAACCTTCCTGAACACCGATAAACATCGCAAGCATATCGCTCATGCTAACAACACCTATAGGTTTTTTTGACTCTTTCTCAACTACCCAAACATGATGAACTCCATTATCAATTGAAACTCTCATGATTTCTTGTAAGTTTGTATCTTCATGACAAAAAATAATGTTTTTCGGGTGCGTACGAATCTTTCCAAGAAATGCTGTAATTGGTAACAAGCACTCAGCGATATTGTCGACGTTTAGGTAGCGAATATCCGAAGATGATAAATTATCGACTAATTCAACGATTCTTTCACCGGCCTCGTCATCACCACCATCTACAATTGCGACTGAACTTAAGTTATGAATTGCCTTCATAAAAATAAACATTGAAAGTTATGAGAAAAATAAATTATAATTACAACCACATGAGAATAATTATTAATATTACCAGAACTTTAAATCCTGCTAAAGCTGTCATGTCTTTAGTGATGGAAAATGCAAATGTGGACTTGACTGGAGATACTGGTAATCTTATGAATCAAAGAAAGCAAGAAATTAATTATAAACAAAACATAAAAAATAATTACAATCAAATAATAATAAGTAATTAATTATTGATAATTACCTACGAGAAGGTTGATTCGGATCATCTTTTTTGGTAAAGGTGATCCAAGATCGTTGCATAACTTTATTAGCTGGCCAATCCAAAGCACCATCCTTCTGAGCTTCTTTCAAAACCGGATTTTTAAGAAAGTAATCGATCGCATCCCATTGGGTAATAATGGCAGCATGTTGAACATCACTTGCCATAATTTCTTTATTGTTTGACGTCGAAGCTAAAATAGCATAAACATTTTCGTGTGTGCCCATCGCTTCTAATCCATCGCTAAGTGGTTCGGATTTGTGATAAATTTTAAAATTATTTGCTAAATTCATTTCATCAATCAAGTCACTGATTGGTTTTTCGTAAACATTTGTAATTTTTTGTTTTACTTCCTTGCTCATATAATCATGAGCAGATTCCTTAGCATCCATTCTACTAAAAACCTCTTTCAACATTAAATATCTGTTGATGTTGACCACATTAACGATACTAACAAATTTATTTTGGTAATTATCAAATACTGGTATCGAGATTATATTATGAATTCGTAAAAGATTTAGAACAAAGGAGATTTTATTATCCGAATGTGCGTAAACTAATGGCTCAAGTGGTTTATTACTGATTTCTTGTAGAAATGAATCAATATGTAGTTTGCGAAGACTTTCTAAAAATTTAGACGAATTCAAAAGATGTGATGGATCCACCGGTTGTTGATGTTCAGTTGGCATTTTTTTTTTTTAAAGAAAAAAATTATTCCTTGAGAAAAAGAATATTTTTTTATTTTATAATATGTGAGAATATTAGCGTAGAACCCTCTAGATTTTTTTTCTTACGTATATTATATCATGACAAACCATAAAAATGCTAAAAAAGGCAAATGTAATGGTATACTACTCAGACTTTTAATTAAATATATTATCATTATTTAAGTTAGGTTCCCAGTAATAAACATAATTAAATGTAAGACATTTCAATCGAATGACATTATTAAACATATCAACTAAATGTTGATTGAACTCATTCATGTAAAATATTGATGATTGTTCTAAATTTTGACAATTTCGAGCAATTAATTGCAACAGTTCTTCTAAATGACGTTTGTCAATCGGAGCATCCTCGACATTTAGAACCTTTAGATTTCTTCCATTGATTTCAAGGAAATTCGACAAACTATATAAAAATGGCTGATTATAAATGATTAAATTTAGGGTTGTAAATATTTGAAAAGAAACAATGTTGCAAATTGCTTGTTGATGATGAAATTCTACTAACATCATTATTGAACATTGACAATGACTGTATTCACAATTGGGTTGGATTGGATTACCCTTAAATCTTGTTCACAAATTTATTGAGATTAGGATACATTTTTGTTGGATTATAACGAGGATTTGCAATTTGATTGATTAAATTTATTTATGGTTCTTTTAAAAAAAAAAAAAAAAAAATAATAAAATATGGACATTACTGGCCTTGTAAATAGCAACGCGGCAAATTCAAAACTTTTAAATATAAATGAAAGTAAAGCCACTTGCAGTTTTGGCTTTGTTATGTGCTTATTTATTTGTTCGTGTAGCATGAATTTGAAATTTTCGAACGTTGGTATTAAAAATCCAATTTAACGTACCCGTGACTTTCTCACAATAGGTTATTGAATTTGAATGAATTGCAACTGCCCTTTTGAATTCCACTGACAAAGTTAGACATTTGTTCACATGAATGGCTGGTTTCTTGATTTGATCTTGTTCTTTGAGTCAGATTACGATCAATTTCGTCCTCGATTGAAGAATTAATATCAACTTTAATTTTTAAAACTTGAATATTTCTACATGACCTTGCCAACCTATCGAAAAATTCAAACCCATTAAGAAAATAACAATCTAATTCACGAATATTTTGAATGAAACTATGAAATCCATCATAATCAAGCATCCAGCTATAATCTAAACAGGTAGTTCCAAGTACCTTGACATTTGAATAATTTTCACCAATATTTTATCAAATTTAAACTTGGTGATTTGACCAAGATCCAATTCAGTAGCAAATCTGACATAGTTTCAGAATGACGGATTCTCAAATGCCTTAAAGTTTATGCAGTAACGATTTTTTTTTAAAGAATTCTTTATCTTCCAACATTAAACAATTAATTAATTAAAATTTTTTACTTCTGCAAAGTAAAATGGTAGATTTCTCCATAAAATTGGAATAAAGTTCCATTGTTTGTTTTTTTAAAATGAGGGAAACCATGTAAACAAACTTATCTATATACAAAAATTACCAAATTTAATAGTTGCACGATTTCTTCGCGTAACATCAAGTTCAATAAAGTGACACATCATGAATTTGTTTGTCCTCTATCCAAATGTATATTTACAATAACAAATATCAATTTCATTTACTCAAATACCTCACTTATTCAGAAAATAATAATGGATAAACCGTCACATAATACTGTTGATTCTGTGGGGGAAGCATTTAAACCTTTTGCTTCTTTAATAACCACAGCAAATGCTGTGATAAATCAAATTGTTGATATTTTTGAAAATGCAGAGTATAACAAAAAGATTTGTAATGTGTTTTTAGTTCGTGTAGACGTTGCTACAATTCACATTAAAAATCTAGAACGTAGAAAAGAAGAAAATGAATATCTTTTTCGTGATGTAGAGTATTACAAGCACTTTGTACGTTTTACCACTATATTAACAGAAATAAAAACATTTCTTAATGATATTACCCATCTTCCTGGATATAATAAATACAATTCTGCAAAGAATTTTGAAGAGATGTTTGGAAACCTTACTCGAGAAATTGATACTATTATGAAAAATTTAAAATTTACAATGACCATTGCTCCTGAAGAGCAAACAAAAATTGATCAACAAAGTTTAAAAGAGGATCACGAAAAAATGGAAAAGGTTAAATTTTATCTATGTATATGTATATATTATAATTAACGTAATTTTGATTATAATTATATATTATATATATATTTTAGTTTTGGGGATCAATTAGTGGTGGAATTGTTGATGATAACAAACAAATGAACACATCTTTGCAAGAAGTAATTATTATCAAAACTCA